GGGTCCACCTGTATCCATAAATGACTTGGTTTTCCCCATCTCCTCCACAAATTATACTGACATCAAATTTAGTGAAAGCAGGGGTTATACTGTGGGGGAGGGACATACCAAGCTACAAGGAAATGATCTTGTAAGTGAGTTAAATACAAAAGCATGAAAGAAAGAAAAAAGAATTAAATACTTATCTAAGGGTTCATTTTCCTAACATCAACTTATCTGATCTTTCCTGCTTGACTCATACATATACTAGATATTGCAAGTAAGGGAAACCATGGGATCATTGTTTCTTTGGGCTTGGCTTACTTCACTTAATATAATTTTTTCCAAGTCTTTCCATGTCCTAACAAATGGGGAAATGTCATTCTTTCTGATGGAGGCATAGAATTCCATTGTGTATATATACCACATTTATTTGATCCATTCATCTACTGAGGGGCATCTGGGTAGGTTAGAAATGTGAATTCAGAAGAAGGTCAACATATATGGTGGTTTTGAAACCAGGTTGTATCTGACGATGTGCATATTTAGACAGCAGTAATTTTGGTAATGAATGATGTAAAACATTATGTGCAATCTTTGCAGAAACATTTGAATGTAAATACAATTCTTGTGATTGATTCAACATGAATATTGACTTGATCTCCTGGTGAAGAGAGTCTATGTGTGAATCTCAATATTTTCTATTCATATTGGATTTAGTAGAGACTGTAAAAGTCTCAAGGAATCAATGTAGGAAGGAGCAAAGTGTCACAAGGCATATTATAGTGAAAATTTCTGAAAATAGAGGAGACTATTTCTGCCCTTTCATACAGTAATAAATGTAAATAAGGAAACAAATCCTTGCTTGTAAATTTCTCCATTTTCCAAAAGGGATCATTGCAGGAAAATAGGAGCCTATGTTTCATCAGTAGAGGAACCATCAATGACTATATTTTGTGAGTATGTGCAATACTATTGTCCAGGCACAAAACTTCCTCACAAGAAACTGAATGTCAGTATATTCATTGAGAATCATTTGCATGTCTCCATTTTAGAGGGAACATAATTTCTCTAACATAAATCAGTTCATGGATGTTTTCCTCAGAAAATTGTGATTGTTGAGGATCGAGTTTGGGACAATGTATCACATAGCTCCCTGTAATTCTGAGTCTACTATTGCCACAAAGGAAATGGTTCATTAATTCATTTTCCCTTTTGGTAAGGCTGTGTGCACTTTTGGTCCAAATGTTTTAATTTAAATTGAAAACTTTCATAAATGCTTGAATGTCAATTACTAGAAAACAAATTCAGTGAGTTTTTACTATTTCTTCAGTAGAAATAATATCTAGTTATATACATAGTTATATCATTACAATATATATCTAGTTACATTCATAGAATTTGCCTAATGATAATGACAATTAAAAATGGTACACTATCATTAGGCAAATTCTATCAATAAAACCAGTCAAAGTCTACTCCATCTGTAAAATGTGCTTAATTCTTTCAGACCTTATGTCTAAATTTTTTCTATTACTTGCACTTAAACAAGTTTTCAATAAAAGTATCTTGTGCATTGTAGCCTACTGGAATATATGGAAGGCAGAGAAAACCCTGCTGGCTTAACAGAAAGCATGCCAATGAGCATCAGGGTGGGTGTTGGCCAATACCAGGAAGAATTCTATGTAGAAACCAAATTTACTGAATTTTAATACAATTGAAATATATTGGAGTTCATTCATGCATAAGAAGAAGTGGGATAATGTCTTAGAATTTGATTCAATTGACAGAAGCACAAGATTTCCTTAGAGTACTAAAATAATGATTCTTACATGAACACTGTCAAATCCCAAGCACACATGATAGACCTTACAAACCTTCATCATTACTTTTGAGAAGCCCTCTGATGGGAATCCTTTGTATCTACTTCAGAGAGGTTTCCTGCTTTGCTTTGGTGTTTATGATTAACTTCCTGAGATATCAAGCAGTGCCACACTTTCCTTTCCTTATCTGTCCATGTTTTTTATTTTATTTAGAGATGTTTCCAGATCCTCCATTTAATGACAAATCATGGTCTTTTATTTTTCTCTCCCATGTCGGTTAGTTTCAATTATCTTTTTTTTTTTTTTTTGGTGTGTCATGGGGCTTGAAGTATTTCCTTGGGTGCTGTCCTTGAGCTCCTCAGCTCAAGGCAAGCACTCTACCACTGGAACCACAGTACCACATCTAGTTTTCTAGTGCTTTATTGGAGATAAGTGTCTCATGGACTTTCCTGCCCAGGTTTGCCTTGAACCGTCACCCTCAGATCTCAGCCTCCTGAATAGCTAGGATTAGAGGCATGAGCCACCAGTTTCTGTCCTTGTTTCAATTATCTTAAACCATTTTTTATATTTTTCTACCGATAGAAATACTGAAATGTTTCAGTTCCTCAGAATCATTAAACAGCTATTCAAGGGGCTGGGAAGGTGGCTCAGTGGTAGAGCGCTTGCCTTGCATGCTCGAGGCCCTGGGTTCGATTCCTCAGCACCACATAAGCAAAAAGAATAAAGCCGGAAGTGGTGCTGTGCCTCAAGTGGTAGAGCGCTAGCCTTGAGCTGAAGAACTGAGGGACAACTCCCAGTCCCAGAGTTCAGGCCTCACGACCGGACCCAAAAAAAAAAAATGATAATAACAGCTATTCAAAACAGACAAATTTATAGACCAAAAACATCCTGGCCTCATTATTATATCATCAAATAGTTTAATTTACGCTAGTTTGTTCCTATACATACTTATTTTAGGATAGTGCACTCTTGGGTTTTCTAAGCATTTGGAGTTGAATCACTGGGTTTTCCTGCATTTTGGACTGCAATACAAATCTAGGATTAGAGTTGTAAGCCCCTGGCACCAATTGTTTACTTGTTAATGAAGATCCTTGCCAGTACGATATACAAAATGCTCAAAGTTTCCTTAGGGTATAACAAAAACTCTTTGGCATATTTTTAAATAAAATGACTTGGTGTTTATGAAAAATGATGATACAAAATCTACATAATATGTGACCTATATGTTGTACCACCTTTTATATATCAGAAACGCTTCAACACACCTTTCCAAAACCTGGCATAATAACTTCCTATTTTATTAAAATCTAAATGAATTTATGTTGTTCTACATAAACCTGTCAATAGATTCTTGAGTTGCAAATTCTGTAATTGAAAGTTATAGTGCAGGAAATTTGCATGTAGTTTATGTTATTGGTGATTAAATAATGCAAAGGCATTCCTAAAGCCATACATTCACAAGGATTTTGTATAGCTTTTATAGTTTATTGTATAGTATGTAGTAACATTAATATTTTTGTAAGTGAAATATATGGTATATAAATGAAGAAATTCATCTGGGAACTTATTTTTCTCTTGCTGTTTTCATTTAATGTTTGTGACTATTTGCTTTGTGAAATCCGAGAAAACATCAATGTTACTTTAAATTAATTTTAATCAAAAAGGTGAACTAAAAGAAATATGTACAAAGATCCATGTTATCTACAAGGAAGGCTAAGGAATGTTTTTGGCAGAAGGTGATTAATTTCTCTAAGAGTCTTTTTGTGAAACTGTCTCCTAATAAAAATATTGATTTGTAAAGAAACTAAACAAGGAAAGAATAATACATAAAGAATGACTTATTGTGGCTATATAAGCCATAGTAAGTTTACAGATGTGTGGGCAGGACAATTTACACAGAACCAGTAGTTGGTGTGTAGATAAAAATTGCGACATATCCGTTCACCTTAGTGCTCTACTGAATACTCACACATTTCTATTATACTGAATTGGAGTACAACAATTCATACCAAAAAGAAATGGGACATAGTCTTCCGGGTTCAAGCCGGAAGTCAGCACTTGCGTTGTCATATGCGGAAGTATGGCTGAATTCTATCAGTTGGTAAAACGGAAGTGAGATTGAGGAACTACATCACAATAGCGTTGGCCCCATGTAGAGAAGTCATTATAGAGAAGTAGCTGTTGCTGTGGAAAACCTACTACTGGGACATCGTCTGACCTGGGGAGATAGACATCCTGATTGGTTTGGTGAATCCAGTTAACTGAAGGAGACAGGTAACAGTCCCTAGATTTCTTTTCCGACTTCTATGACATAGACATGTAAATCATCTTTTTGTTTGTGACTGAGACATTTCTCGCTGACATCCCAAATGTAGTTCTTATAGATTTCTCCAACTAGGCAGTATTATTTCATTGGTAAAATAATGAAAATTCTTTACTTCCTTAGACTTAAGAAAACACATGTTTCCATTTTGGGGTATTTAAATTTTACTTTTATTACTGTCACTTTTATGTGTTAGTCATAGTGTAATGTCTTCTGGCTCTGCTTCACGGCTACTATACACTGTACTACTAAAATTTACTACCTATTGAATGACAGCACCCATCTCAAACTTTGACTCTTACTAGTCTCAATTATTCCTTTACTTTGTGATGCATATATTCTCTAAGAATCAGTTACCTGAATAATACTCCATACTGATCTTATAATCTGAATAGGAATCACGATATATCTATGAAAAAGGAAAATCCTCCTTCAGACAAGTGCTTATTTTCAATAGGTATTAGATGGTTGTAAAATGGAATTTGGAATTTGTTAATTCAGACACCAATAACTTAGAAAACCGTTTCCTCATTTGCGTAAAAGTTGTCATGATGCATTATCCTCTGTTTTTGTATGTTGAAGAAAAATGTATGAAAAATATGAAATTAATTTTGACTTCAAAGGTTATACATTTCTATAGCTTATTATAAGTGACCATAATTTGTGAAGTAAACAGTTATCAATATACTTCAATACAAGTGTTTCTAGCAAAAAAAAGTATTAGAGATGAATAGGTTTTACCCAGCTGTTTTTCATATCAACGGCAAAATCACAACATTTAAGACATGTGGTTTTGGAGTATTTAGTCTTGTTTTCTCTCAGAGAATTGTTTTTTTTTATCCGCAGGAGTTGCTTATATATATCTGTCTGTCACAATGGAAAAAGGTAAACATGTTTAAGCATTTGTTTTGAAAATTATTTTAAATGGTCTAGTTCATGCTATTTTTTTTTCTTGTTTGGAATCACAGAAAGTATATTGACAGGAACTGAGAGAATAGGATAGTAGGATTCGTCATGATATGAATCTGAAACTTTAGACATTTTGATAATTATAACTTTGACTTTTGATGTTCTAGATTGAAAGGTGAAAAAGAAAATAAATTATGGGCACATTCTAGATTGAAATTTAAGAAAGTAATTAAATCAAGGGCGCTCAATGGATGTTTGCTTTCAGAAGATAAAACATGCTAAGAGCTCCATTTGACTCAAATTAATATTTTTTCAACTAGAATAAATATTTTTCATAATAAAAATTAAGAACTAACTAATAGGAACTGAGAATACATCAGAAGTTAAATTCCAGAGTAATACTCTTTGTCATATTTTGAATCTATATTCCCCAAATTAGGATTCCTGAGTTAAGGTATAGTTAATAATGGAAGCAACATTGAAGGCTTGTATGTTCCCCAATATATTGATTTTCCCGAGGTATTTGTTCTCTTTCAGAGGAATCTGTGGATCCTGAGAGGTTGTTGCAGTGTCCCTATGATAAAAATCACAAAATCAGATCATGCAGGTTCCCATACCATCTTGTGAAATGCAAAGAGGTAATGTTTCACTGGAACATGTTGGTATTACATAATTTCTTTAGTTCATGGATAAATTGGAGTATTGTTTTTATAATAAATTGTAGGAAATATATGTGAAAATGTGAGAGAATGTAGGCATAAATACCATAGTGAGATTTTTGTATTTCTTCTGAAATCTCTGCAGCATGTAATGGAAAGTAAGACAATCCTAATCCAATTTATTTCTAGAGACATATTTCTAGATCTCTATTCAAAGCAGAACAAAGGCAAAATGTTTTGTGTCGGTAATTATGTCTAACTCTGTGTGCCATATTTCTTTTTTTCTGTCTTTTTGTGAAAATAACATACAGAGAACTTTACATACCTCACAAATATTAGAGGTGGTTTCGTTTTCCTCCCCATTGCCTAATGTACAAAATGTAAATTAAGTTATTCTTAAACTATTTTCTTAAAACAACCACTGTATTTTATGGTCTAGAATTCAGTTTGAGTACTTGACTTTTCATGCCATGTTTATAACCATAAAATGGGAGATGCATTGTGTCTATTTTCTATATTGAAGGTATTTATTACAAACTTGCTCTTATTTTCATCAAAAATAACACAATATTTGAAGGTTCACTGAACTGTGGGTAGAAAATTACTTTTTTTCTTCATGTAGCACTGCTACAATAAGTTTCAGAGTTTAGGAAATTCATAGTTTCTGCTATTTTGTTTGTAAAGAAGACACATGTTATGACCCTCCATTTTGGATATTTTCAAATATGTTTTCAATCACCCTATCTATGCATTTGTAAATTTTTTAATAAATAACCCATATTTGAGTAAACATAGGCCAAAATTGAGCACTTATGTGCATTTCTAAAGTTCCATATAGAATTTATGGGTGTCTTGGCCCTATTTCCTCATTAAAGAAATAATATCAACCTGAGAGTTTGATATCACTGTATCATTTTTTTAATGCCAGTCCATGCAGGAGAGTCATAAACCTTCTTATCTCCCCTATCAAATGAGAATAGAAGAAGTTCTATGAAAATTGTAGAAGTCTAGCCCTTTGCAAACAGATGCACTACTTTTTTTTTTAACCTTCCCCTCCCCAAATTAGATAAATATATACACAATGCAGTGCACTAGAATCAAATACAGTGAAAACAGGGGTTCTACCATGGGGAGGAACACACCAAAGGGAAAAATATCAAAGAGTTCATTAAAAATATGTTAAAAAAAATACCAAGAAGGGAAAAATAACCACTTCTATACCTATCTTATTTGATTTATCATCTTTTTTTAAATAAGTTTTTATTGTGAAAATAATTTACAGAGTCGTCACAGTTACAGGAGTAAGATAATGAGTATTTTTCTTATCAAACATTGTTGCCTCCTTCGATGAGTTTCCACTGCCATCACTTCCCCCATCTCCAGAATTACGTTTACCCCCCTCCCACCCTGCTTAAATGATAAAGTTCATTTTTGACATAGCATATTTTAAATAAATTTTTACTGTGAAAATACTGTACAGAGGGGTTACAATTAATGAGTGCATTTCTTATCTAAAATTGTTTCCTCCTCCTTTATTTTTCTGCTACTATCCTCTCCCTCCCAACTCGTCAACTACATCCCCTCAGTCCCATCTCCACCTCTGCCAAAATTGTAAAGTTTGCATTTCAAAATAACGTCCTGTACATCTGATTGTGGCAATAGGTCAAGTTATATAAACATTTTGTTATTTCTCTAACCCCACTGAAATTAAACCAACATTCAATACAGTGAACACAGGGATTATACCATGGGGGAGGGACATACAAAACAACAAAAAAAAGCACATGGTCTCTTTTAAATAGGCTAGAAACAATACCAAGGAGGAAAATTAAAAACCTTTGTCCCTAACCTTGGGTCCATTTCGCTTAATATCAACTTATCTGATCTTTGCTGCTTATCGCAGATATATACTAATAATTGCATATTGAGGAAACTATGGGGCCTATGTTTATTTGGGCCTGGCTTACTTCACTTAATATTTTTTCCAAGTCTTTCCATTTCCTAACAAATGGCACAACGTACTTCTTTCTGACCTTCATTCCAACCTCTCAACTATATTCTAACCCTGCCTGAACCCTCTCTTTAATTGCAGAGTTCATTTTTTATAAGCCTCTGTACATCACTTTTGAACATTTCTGCTTATCCTAAATGTACACTAGTTTTTTCCAAATAAGGGAAACAATGGACCTATATTTCTTTGAGCCTGGCTTACTTCAATTAATGTAATTTTTTCTGAGTCTTTCCATTTCCAACAAATTGAGCAATATCATTCTATCTGATAGAGGCATAGAATTCCATTTTGCATGTATTTACACATTTACTTAATCCACTCATCTACTGGGGGGCTTCTGGGTTGGTTCCATATCTTAGCTATGACAAATAATGGTGGTATTTTTAGTATGGTCTTGTATTCATTTGGGTAAATGAGCAAAAGAGGGATTGTTTGATCATAGAGAAGCTCAATGTGCAGTCTTTTGATGAACCTCCATACTGTTTGGGATAAGGGTTGACCCATTGTAACAATGAAATTTACAAGGCACCATGTTGAAAATGAACTTTACAACTTTAGCTGTGTGGGTGAGGGGTAGAGGAGAGGAGTTGGAGAGAGGAGGAGGGAAGAGATCTTAGGGGAAAAAAAGAGGAGGGAGTAACAATGCTCCATAGGAATTGTACTCATTACATTATTCATATAGCTGTAATCCCTCTGTACAGTATATTTACAATAAAAAATATGTATTAAAAAAAGAATGTACTAGCACAGTACCTATAGCATGGTGTCAAGCCTATGGTAGATATCCTGAACAAAGTAATCTAAAAAGTGAAAATTTGAAAATGTTTCTTCATATTTGAACTTTTGTTATACAGAATCATCCTGACATTGCTGCCAAATTGGCTACTTGTCCCTTTAATGCTCGTCACCTGGTTCCACGAGATCAACTCACTGAACATATTGCAACTTGTATGGACAAAACTTCCCTTGAAGATGATGTAGGTAAGCTTGATAATTAAAATACAATCCAAATCAGTGTAGGCCCTTTGCACCTGCATCCTATTGTGATGCTAGTTTTCTCTTTGTTTGTAGATAACATCATATGGAATGAGAAACAATCCAAGACTTCTGAAAATACATGGCAATGTGTGTCCTCTGAGGAAGACTGGGATAAAGGTAAAAAGCTTGTTGAACTTCCTGCATTTTCCATTATTTACTCTCAACTTACTTTGTACTGTTGTATCATTTCTTCCTTTAGTAGTGAAATTAAAAATTCTTTGTTCAATTTTGATTGTCTTGTATGCTAATATCAATAACATATATGAAAATATGCAGTCTTAACTGATTAAAAACCATGTCAAACATTTAAATGATATGTTGTTGCACATGGGTAAGAATTCATACATTTCAATCTTTATTATCCAGCTAAAAGTTTCTTGGGAGTCTCTTAGGGACAACAACCTTGTTCTTCTTCTTTATTAATGTATAATGTTAGAGGCAATCTATTCTAGCACCTCAGTCAATTATGTAATTCTCCCTTTCGCAGAATCCTTGGAAGATCCTAGCCCAAGTTTTGTTTGGGGCACAATCAAATCATCTGGCAACAACAGGTAAAGAAAATGGTTTTCTTCTGATGTACTATTGTCTTTTAAAATTCAAAGTAAAGAAATAGGGTAAATGAATAAAAAACTTGCTCTTCTATATAACCACATATTTTGCTCACTACAAAGGAAGTTTTGGATTGCTCTCTGAACTGGTGAACCTGTGATAGGTGGCAAAATCAAATACAATTTCACTAGGACTGATGCAAAATGCAATCACCCAAATACTTCAAATCAGATTACCTTATCTGAATATTCTTCTCATTCTCTTATAATAAATTTAAATCAGGGAAGCCATAGATAACAGTATTATGTTGGGCCAATCTTTTTATAACCAATTTCATGTTTCCAGGATTCACTCATCACATCAATTATGATAGTGTAAATGGCAGTATCTTCAATTGGTAATTGATAAAATTACAGACTTATGGGTGGGTTACTATGTCTTCCTTCTGAAATTCATTAATGAACATTATAAGAATGGCTATCTGATTTAAATTTTCTCCATAAATTAGTATAAGATATTTGAGGGATTCTTGAGATGATTTACAATTTTCACTTTACAAAGATACATATTAATAAAATGTATTTAGAGCTATTTTTAACAGCAATACATACATGGATTTCAAATTTCACATTGCTGTTTAATGTATAAATACACATTAGATATGGTATAGATTGGAAATTCAAAATTAGAGATATAACTACCAAAGTTCTGCTATCTCAGGGAGTATTTATGAGATTGTTTAAAGAATTTTAATTACTAGAATGAACTTGTCCTTCTAGAGTCACAAAATAGGTTATATTCTTGATTTTATGGAATTTGAACACATCAAGTCTCTCTGACATGGTAAGATGGCAAATAGAGGAAAAAGTGAACAGTAATTGGGTTTTCTTGGAATTCTTCATAAGCATTTATTTAATTTGGAATCATGTCATTTGTCTTGCTTGCCAATATGAGACCTCTTCCTTTTTGTGAGACAATATATTCTAGATGTATTGATAATGTTAAGAATTTTCATCTCTGATCAGTCTAGAAAAAAAAAAAAACAACAATGTCTGGGAAGGTGGCTCAGTGGTAGAGAGCTTGCCTTGCATGCATGAGGCCTGGTTTTGATTCCCCAGCACCACATAAGCAAAAGGGAAAAAAGCAAGAAGTGATGCTGTGGCTCAAGTGGTAGAGTGCTAGCTTTAGGCGGAAAAGTTGAGGGACATCGTCCAGGCCCAGAATTCAGGCCCCATGACTGGACCTCCCCCAAAAAGCTTATTCAACATAAGACCAAGGTGAATTTTTGTGAGCCTGACCTCACAGTCAGGCCTCATATATTCTTCCTGTGAAATGGTATTAAGAATACTAATTATTTGTATTCAAATATCTGTTGTATGTCAAACATATTACAATATTAGGTGAAGGATGCATTGGCAGTTTATATAGTGAAAAAAGTGCTGAGTAGGAATAATAGTAATAGATAAATTCACCCTTGCATCTGATGACAATTTGCTAATTCATAAAGATTATAGCAGTGACTAAAAATCCTGTTTACAAACTGAGCAGATCAATGAGTATTTGATCAACCCAATACATTTATTCTTGGGGTTAAGGAGTTTCTCATCCTCTGTCACGCAGAGGAAAATGAAAATGTCGTGGAAAACAATTTTTGGGGTAGCAAACCATTCTTGAGGCAGGCCAGGTGATAATGTTAATTCTAGCATCACACATGTTTGACCCATAAGGATCTAATAATAGATTAATGAAGGATATTTTGCAGATTCATTTCTGGGAATTAATCCCCTCAAAATAGAATACTATAGAATGTATTCTACTTAAGGAAAACTATGGTTACTCGTAGACAAGTAGTGTGCATAAATGTTGGGAACAGACAAGCTCAAAAATCATCAGCACACTCTGGATAACAGAGAAAAACAGCCTGGTACAGGTTGCTTAGGGACCTGTAGGAGGCTGAGATCTGAGGATCAGTTCTCAGGAATATTTGTCACACTCTCATCACCAATTAACCACCTCAAAACTGGAAGCGTCTCTGTAGCTCAAGTGGTAAAACAGTAGAGCTCTAAGGAGCTCAGGAACCTTGCCCAAGCCTAAAGTTCAAGCCCAATGACTAGCAAGAACAATAACCAAACATAGGAATGTAATGCAATATTCATCAACAATGCCCCATACTCACTGGTATTTCCAAAAACTCTGAATTTTTTCCTTTGGAGCTAGTTAGATTTTATTCATTCCCTATGTATAATATCATTTATTAATCCTCTGAATTTCAGAGAGTAATGTTTGATGAGACAGTGGTATTTACTTACTTCATTGGTTCGTAGAACACTTAATATGTTCTAGTGGGATTACTAATTCTGTTCCCTTATGCTAATATGTCTTGCTTATGGAATCATAATTTTTCCAGCATCTAAAATGTAGATAATACTAAAGAACCTGTAAATTCTTGAATCTGTGAGTGTAGAACACCATGCTACTTGTTGATGTAGCTCTTCAAGATTTATCCAACCGCAGCTTTGCTATTATATATCTGTGTGTGTGTAGGTGTGTGTGTAGGTGTGTGTGTGTGTGTGTGTGTGTGTGTGTGAGCTGTGTTTGTGATCAGATATGTCTGTTACCTGTCCATTTATGGGTGGAAATTTTGTGATGTTTGTGAAATGGTGTGCATTTTTTCCTACTCTGTTTCAATACCCATAAGTAGATGCTGCACACATTATTATGATTTCTTGGAATTGTAAAGTGAGGGTATTTTTTCTGCCTTCACTTTTTGATTTTACTTAAATACAGGTTATAATGGATTTTTTCATGTGTCTTTTTTGTCAATGAGTATTGAATCTTTGCTTGGTCCATTGATATTCAAGCTTCTTACTTGGATCAAGCTGGGCTTGATCCAAGTGATTTTTTCAAAATGTTGGTATGTCTCTGGCATATAATTCTCATAACCATACATATTTGAGAAAGCAGTGTTAATGTAGGAATGTTACCCTAAGTTAATGGAAATTTTCTATGTTCATTTCAAAGTCCAATATTTCTGAGAGTCCAATATTACTGAGAGGTGACATGCATATGTGTCTTAAAGGTTAACTATTTTTCTGAACTGCTGAATATATTTAGCTGATACAACATCACAATGTACTTATGACTTCACAATAGAATTTGTTTTGTACACAAATAAGAATGGAAAAGCCGTTTATTAGTTTGAGCCATGGAATATTTCTTGTAATTGTACCTGAAAGTATTTGCATGGTATCCCTTCATATTTTACTTGCCCCCATAAAGCATGTATCCATTGGTAGGATATATCTCATAAAACAATCACTCCTTGTGATTTCTTTTTATGCATCCGTTCACAAATATTGAAATGGAGTGTTGGCTTAAGTTTATTGCAATAACATTATATAGTAAAACCACTCTGGATTTTCTTTTCTGTACAACCACGCCAAGTATTTCTTCCTATTTTCCTGGATGCATGATACATCCATGAATATATTGCAAAGGACCTAGTCAGAAACTGTGTCAAGGCCTGGCTGAGCCTGAATGGGTGATATTAGAGTAAATTTTGAAGAAATGTAAAATAATCGTTGAATTAATAGATTGAGTAGGTTCACACTTCAAATGTTCAATGAAGTTTGAATGTGTTGAGGCAGAGAGTGTCCAAGTGTCATTATTTGTTAGATTTGTATACAACGATCAAATTTAAATGGGAAGAGAACTGGAAGTAAACATGAAATTTTTTGGAAATAACTGATGATGTGCTCTCATTAGTTTTTGAATATCTCTCAAACTGCTAGTTTAGTTCTTGTTCATATGCAGAATACAGAAATAAATATTCTAGTGTTTTCCATAGAAAGTAAAATAATATTTTTTGTATTTCTTTGCAGGAAACATTCTATGAACAAGCCATGAGATCAAATTATTTCTCATTGTTTCATCTACATCTTACATTCATTAATATATTGTTGATGCTCACTCAAACAAGTGAATTCGTTTTAATTTCTACTTCCTTTTCAAACCCTATTCACATTTACCTTGAATTCAGAAGAAAATCCGGGTGTTTATGTCCTCATTGGAAATCACCATTTCACTATCCACATAGACGTGGCTAAGTTGGAATATAGAAACTTCAATAATCAATTCAAAAATCTACATTTGTTTCCCAATAGAGAACAAATCATACTTCATTATTTATTCTCCTTCAGTGTGCCTGTGAATATCATCTTCCATTTCATATATTGATATAATTGCAGAGCCCAATAAATACATAACAAAACTGTAATGATATTAGACCTCTTATACAAATCTTACACCAATTATATATTCCCATATAGAAAAGCCATTAAAATTTCACAGGGATTTTTCAACCAAATTCTGAAGTATATTTCTTACTATACAAGCTTCTCATGCATCTCAATGATTTCCATGTATAATCTCATCTAAACAAGATTCTAGGAGTTCTTTCCCAAACATGTGGCGGAAAAAACCAGGTTAATGTATGTATACACAAAATAACATGAAAATCTTATTCTGTTGAGGGGGCAAATTGCAATTTGTGAGGATAGCATGATTGTGTGCTAAAAATGCAATATTTTTAGGGCAAGAGGATTCTAAAATGTTCCAAGAAAGAGTGGACTGTTATCTGTAGAGTATCAAAAGCACTTTTTTGGAACCATCTTCAATGACTATTTTCATATTCAATTTGTGTGTAATTTCCCCACATATATATGCCCCCACATATTTATAGTTGATTTGGCACTGTAGCCCAAAACATTCCTGATGCAAAAGGGAATAATTTTTGAAGCATATTTTAGGAAGATCCACTTTGTGAAAATGGTTGGTAGGACTCCTATGCTATAAATAGAGTTGAATCTTTTGCATACAGATGAGGAAGTTAAATAGGTGAGAATGTGGCTCATATTTATTGTTGGTGTTGAAATGGGAGACTTTTTGATTATGGGCTTTTTTCTGCACCTAGTGTATAATTGCAAATATTTCTTAGTTTTCTTTCAGAAATTGTGAGCAGGAAGGAATTCATCATTAATTTGTGAAGGACAGCTTGGAACTTTTAGACTCAGGGAAACCTGAGCCTTTTCCAGTAGGGATATGAAGGGAACAGATTTATCAACACATGTCTGTGTACAGACTGAAAACCAATCTACATACAAATCCGTGTGTAAACTTATGAAAATTAAAATAAATGTATGTATCAATACTCTTCTTTTTCATTAAACTAACGGTCAGTGTTATGTACAGAGTTATTATAAGTATGTATGTGACACAGTGAATAGTTTTCTTGTTACATGTTACATTATCCCCCATTTTTCTTACACTTTATTCTGCTTCAAAACTCCTGCTGCCCCTGTTGTAAATGCCATTTCCAACATATTGTCTTGTGAGGAATTTTATGGCACTGGTTCACCCATTGTCCTCTATCTCAAATGTTTTTGATTCCTCTTCTTTGCCTGATTCAGATTAAAGTTTACAGTCCACAGGCTATGAAATCAAATATAGTGACAAGAATGGAGAAACACTATGAAAAATAAAGGAAAAATAGCAAGGAAAAAGGAAGAGTTTTTCATAGTTTTTTTTTTTTAAAGTTTGTCACCAACCATTATAGACCTCATGTTTTTTGAAGTTGAATTTTCTTACCCTAAACTTTTGTTCATATATATATAGCAATTAAGCTCTTGCAATCCTCTTTGGCTGAAACTGGACATATACCAATTAAGACAAAAAAATAAAAAAGAACATAGGGCATCTATATGTTAAATGCCCCTTCTAAAGAAAAGCTTATGACTCTTCATTAGGTAAGTTTAAGTAGAAGCATGGTAAACGCAGTAAAATGGAAAAGCAATATTCAATAAATTGTGTTGTAATACTCATTAACTTCCTATAGATGCTTAAAGTTAGATTATACATCACCATGTCAAACCAATTTCCTAATGAATCAGACCTCGAGGTTAAACACAATACTCAGAATGGAAGAAATAGAGAAATACTAGGTCTCATAGACATTTTGAAACTTTCTCATTAGAGATGCACAAATACATCAAGTCAAAGAAACGTTGGACCAGCTCTATTGCTTGAACCTTCACAGGTTCTTTATAGCAAAGGACATAACTAAATAGGTAAATAAACAGCCAAAAACTGGGAGAAGTTCTTCACTAGCCAAGAAAGACAATAGAGTCTTAGAGCTGAAATATAAGCAAAATTCAGCAAGTCAAATTCCCCCTAAAAGACAAACCTGAACAATAACCCCACTCTATGAAAAGAAGTCTAAATATTTAAAGAGAGACTTCACTGAGGGCAAATTGAGAATAGCCAAAGGACATATGAAGAAATGCTCAATGTCTCTGACAATGAAATGAGGCCGAATAAAGTCAATACTTACATTCCACCACATTCCATTAGAATGTCAAATTTATGTTCATTCCATAGGGAAAACCAGGGACCACTCCAGATGCCTGAGAGTAGATTAATGGATCACAAAATGTGCGGTATCAACACAATGGAATTCTATTTGCCATTAGAAATAATGACATAGAGCCATTGGTAATGAGATTGAAAAAGTTAAATATATAACATGAATAAATGGGCCCAGACCCAAATAAACATAGGCTTCATGGTTTCCTTTATTTCTAAAAACTGGTATTTGTCCATTTTAGTCCTAGAAGAGGATCACAATAGCTTAATAGTAATGTACATATGACCATAGAATATTAGGCTAAACAAAATAAGCTCTGAAATAAAAAATCATTTGGTTTTCTTGATTTTTAATAGTATACTGTGTGAAGGTATTTCTCTTTACTTGCCTTCTTCTTTTATTTTCCTATGTTTTGTACAATGTTGTCACTGTATTTGATTTTGGTACACACTGTATTCCATGTAAGTTAATGAGAATTAGGTACGGGAAGGGCAACAACAAAATCAGACAAAGGATAATGGGCAAACCATACAAGAACAATCACAACAAAACTACATGTTAGTAATAAACATTACACCTGGTGGGAGAGGATAGAGATTTTAGGTAAAAAAAAAAAAAAAAAAAAAAACAATAAAAGTGAACAATGGGTAAAAACATATGACGAGAAAAGTAGTCATTCATTGCTTACGTATGTAATTCAAATTCCTCTGTACATCACCTTGACAATATTCCTTTAGAAAGAAGAGTATTGTTACATACACTCTTCTCAATTCTCATAGGTTTACATATAGATTCTTAAGTCAATGTGTTTGTATTACATATACATACACATGAAAATTGTTCTGATTTCTTGAGGTTCCTAAGAATGCACAGGTTTCCCTGGGTCACCAAGTTTCAAGCCAATATTGACAAATTAATGTTGAAATAATTTTTGGTCAAATATTTATATAGGAATCTAAATAGTCATTTGAAATTGCAAACCAGGGGATCCTGATGCTCAAATATGCTCCAAAGCAGAAACCTTACATTTTCACACCTATCATATATGTAAGCAAGACTGTCCCAAGTAAAATTTCATCTGTAGTCAAATACTTCAATTCTTTTGATTACATAGAAATCTAACCAGTAATAAATATTTTTTGGCAAGGGAGATCTTCCTAAAATATACTTGAAAATTTATTCCTTTTGGCCATAAGAACGTTGTGGATCAAGAATGCCAAATGAACTAAAATATGGTGGATGTGGGGTCCTTAAATATGACAGCAATTTATACACAAGTAGAAAACAAATATTCATTAGATTTGGCTTCATAAACTGATCTTGAATTACAATCCAAACTTACAGATTAATCTTTCCAGAATATTTTAGTAATGTAGCTAAAAATTTCTCAAACGATGCACAAATTCTTCTCTGATACATCACAAATTCTCTGTACAAAATATGGTACCTTCAAAGAGTGCACATTGTCCCCCAAAACTAATAAATGTCGATTATTTATACTCTTGCAAAAATCTATTTTTCCCTTTCACAGACTATGGGAAGAAGTCACATTTCTTCTGCAGAATAGATGACACATGAAAAATATTGTCATGATTTAGAGTCTTGTGTCTTGAGAAATACGTTGCAAAATTAGGTGATTTAAAAAATCTGTAAAATTTTCCTACCCATTCTTCTTTTTGGAACACATAAATTAATGGGAAATTTGTATTAGTAACCACATATTATTTTATTTATATTATAATTATATATTATAATCATAATATACATTATAAATATAATATGATATTATATTTATTAATATATTTTTCTTCTATTTTTAATCATATTCTACATTATTAATTAGTGAAATGGAACATATTATTCCCAGACAAACGTTCCTATTGTGAGAGGTGAACCTACATTTAGAACTTAGGAAACAGTCCTTTCGTCGGATTTCTTTCTTCACCCAATATCCTAGGCATTCTAAGTAATGGACACTTGGTTAAATCCAAGGTGTCCCTGAAAGACTCGCTTTGGGCTTGTATGCACTTCAATCCCACATTTTGTTTGATTGAATATTCTTCAATTATGCACAATTATTCATTGTGTAAAATAGTCAAGATTCTTGAGGCCCTCTAAGATCAAAAAAAGCTGATTCTTTTTATATCTCCCTTGACAATTCCCAGTAACTCATGTCCCTGTCATTGCAACACAAAATAATCCTATAACTTTTGCATTGATTCCAATGCAATTCAATGTTCGCCTCTCAATATTCCCAAAAATTACTTTGAACATTTGTAAATATCTACTGTCAGTAAGACATTCATGGAAGACTCTTGATAGTATATAACACATTATTAAGAACCAAGGTATATGTAGGAAAAGGCCATTAATATCACACATTCTCCCTCACATGCAAACCACTTTGTAATGAGATTGAGTTGATTTTAATGGAAAATTTTGAATTGATAGATTCGGAACTTGGCAAAGCTCTCTATACATTTCCTGCAAAAATGTCATATCATCATACGGCAGGGAGCAATTTGAAACACTTCTGTCAAACATTGTGCTTTTTAGTCCTTCAATGTTACACAGAAATATTGCAAATTCTTCTCTTCTGGCTTTATTTTTATTTGTCTGTCTTGGAGTTTGTACTGTAAGCGTGGGCTTTGTCTCTGCATACTTTAGCTCAAGGCTTGAGCTTTGCCCCTTGAGAAAGTTCGCCACTTTCAATTTTCTGATGGTAATTTGGAGTAAAATATCTCATGGACTTTCCTGTCTGTGCTGTCTTTGAACCTTATCCTCATATCTCACCTTCCTGAGTACTTACTATTATAGGTTTTTGCCAATGTCGCTCAGCTGTTCTTACTCTTATCTAATAAAATATCAAAGTAGCAACTTAAAAATTATCCACAGGTATTTAAACAGCATCGACAAAATTTCACAGCATTTCTGAAGAGAAAATTTGCAATGAAGTGTTCCAATTCACTTTATTTTGCTTCCTCTAGAGGAAACCCAGATATTAATGGAGAAGGAAAAGAAAATTATCAGACATGTAGATCTAAAATCACTAACCACATTTACAAATCACTGAAGATATTGTAGGAAAAATAATCTTTCATTTGGACAGAATTCATTTAAGTGAGAAAGGGGTGAAGAGGTGGAGGAAGAGGTGAAGGAGTAGGTCAGGTAGAAGAAGCCTTGGAGGAGATGGAGGAGGGGGGGGGTAAAGAGGTTGAAAGGGTTGAAGAAGAGGAGGAGGAGAAGTAGGGAAAGAAGAGAGGAGGAAGAGGAAGAGATGACTGCATCATCATTTTTGGTATTTGTCACTGTTTGGGCCCCATCCCCTCTGTTTGGTTTCTTTTCTGGGTTGCAGAGGATGGAGTAGATTGCGGAGCCCTTGTCCACTCTCCCGTCTTGACCACCAGAGAGCAGAATTCATACTTTGGGACTATGTTACAGGAAAACTCCACTTGCTGGTGCCACTGATGGACTGAAACTTGCAATGGTTTTGGGATTTTGCTTCTGTTTCTTTTTGTTTTTGCTGCCAATGTCTTTATACCATCCCTTCAAGCATGGCAGTATATCTAAAGGAGAAAACATTTTCCTGCAGAAAAAACTTACCTAAAAGTAAAGCTACATATAAAAGTGAAAGCAGGTTGGATCGAGGCAAGCACTTCTACCACTGAGCCACATTCCCAGTCCATACACTGTTCTTTAAAATTAATTTTCTATGGTCATTTTCAAAGAAATTCATTAATTTGTATTAACTCAATAATTTATACATAGTTGTGTATTTATTCATTCATTTATTTAATCTATGTTGAGACAATTCTAGGAGCCCGATTAAGTGAAATCAACATGATGTTTTACTTTTCAGCGAGGAATACTTCTGTCTCATTGAGGATGTTATGGAATCTCCTGCTCTTAATACTTGAATCTCACTTGGGAAAAGGGTAAAAGCCATTTAAAAGAAAGATGGGGCTAGGAAGATGGCTCAGTGGTAGAGTGCTTGCCTTGCATGCCGGAGGCCGTGGGTTCCATTCCTGACCACCACATAAGCAAAAAGACAAAAGCCGGATGTAGCGCTGTGGCTCAAGTGGTAGAGTGCTAGTCTTGAGCTGAAGAGCTGAAAGACAGGGCCCAGGCTCCGAGTTCAGGCCCCACGACTGGACCAAAAAAAAAAAATAAATAAAAGAAAGATGACTATGGGATGGTGCTAGAGCTTACTTCCTCTCATGTCCAAAAATGGAAACAGAGAGCTCATACTCCAGAATTCCAAGTTAGTGCTTAGAACTGTACTGAGTGGTGCCACTCAGTATAGGACCACTGAAGTATTAATGTGGCTCCTGTTATATGTATGCATGTGTATTTTCATGGTGAGACTGTTCTAGGAACCCAATTGAGCTAGATGTACATGTGTATGTGTTTGTTACACAAAATGCATTCTTCTTTTAAAAATAGGATTAAAAATCACTTGTTTGTTAATTTGTGGACCCCAGCTTGCAAAGACACACTGCATATTAAAAGATTCCTAATCCAACATTATTGTCTTATGACTCTAATCCTAACTGTTCAGGACCCTGATTTATGAGAGTGAAGGTTGGAGGCTGGCCTGAGCAGGTATGTCTGTGAAACTCTTGTCTCCAATTAATCACCAAAAAACCAGAAGTGAAGATGTGGCTCATGTGGTAGGGCAAAAGCCCTGAGATCAAAGCTCATGGACATACTCAGGCACAGAGTTTGTACAACAACATCAGTACAAAATGAAAGAGAGATAGAGGGAGAGAGAAAGAGAGACAGACAGAGAGAGAAAGAGAGACCGACAGACAGATAGATAGACAGACAGAAAGAAAGATTCAGAGACAGAGACAAAGACAGTGAGACAGACACAGACCCAGAGACAGAGAGACAGACACAGACCAAGAGACAGACCCAGAGCCAGAGCCAGAGACAGAGAGACAGTGTGATAGTAGGGAATCATTCTGCTCTACACAGGGCAGCACTAGAAAAAAGATTTTCCAGAAGCCAAGCTGTTGGTCAGAAGTTGCAATGTACAAAATTCCACTAGGTAGAGCCAGAGATTCACTGAAAGCAGCGAGTTTTGTGCTCATTGTTCATTTAATCCTTGTTTTATTTTGTATTGTTCTGTGGATCATTATGCTTAAAGCTTTCTTGTTTTTCTATTTTGGCAATTCTGAGGCTTGAACTCAGGAGCAGGACCCTGTACCTGAGCTGTATTGTTCAAGGCTAGTGTTCTGCCACTTGAGCCACAGCGTCCGCCACTTCTAGCTTTTTCTGTGGTACTGAAGAATCCAACACAGGGCTTCACTCATGCCAGGCAAGCATCTGTGGATCATTGTGAGAGATTCTCACTACACTCAGAATTCAAGTTTACAATTCATTATCCTTCTCCCTCAACCTCCCCTGCTATGCAATTGAACACATGTGCCACCTAGGTTAGTGACCTTATTCTTTAAAACAAATTAATACATTAACATTGTCTGTGACATTATGTTATTTCTATTATTAAGAATTTGTATTATTTCATTTGTTTCTTACTGAGGACATGTCTAGGAACCTAGTTCAACAGTATACATGACTGTCAACTTTCTGTAGAACACTGAAGCATTGTTGATGAGAATTTTCAGTCTTCTCTTCTTAATAGGTGGATTTGACTGTCTACAGGGAAGGGGAAGTTAACAGAAGCCTGAATGTGTGAGCGCATTAAGGAGTTCTTAATCTCCTGTACACAGGGTGTCCATAGACAGCTCATTTCCCAGAATGCCAAACTGTTGCCAAGTTGTCTTAAGTCCTCAAACTTTACATGGGGACACGAGATGCACAAAAAATACATCAAGCAACCTAAATATTAGAGTTGGAAATTAAAAGCAGAAAGTTGTTTTCAAAAGAAATCTGCCCAGATTGGTACCTATAGTTCTAGGATTGGGAGACCATGGCAGATGAAACCTGGCAAAAGCTAAACAAAATGTGAGAAGGCTTCACATTGTTCTTCCCTTCCCAGCCATAGGATGACACCACAAAGCTCATTTCCCCCAGTAACAAGCTGAGGCCTGGAGCTATACCCACACATCTCAACTGGGTAGTGCCAAAGAATAATGGAAAACAATAATGTTTTTCCTTTCTTTTTGTTGTTGTGTTTCGTTGTTTTAGGGATCATTTGGGGGAAAAAAAAAGATCTCACTGTACTTACTAGGCTATACTAGAACTGTTTATCCTCTTCTGTGTTGCACCCATTGCAATCCACTTTGACTACACTGTATTACAATAAAATTTCCATTTACATTTATTTTCCAACAATAACTTTTGTTTTTAATAACCTATTTAACTATATACTTATAGATTAGTTCATTATTTTCCATCCTGAGACAATTCAGGAAACCCACTTAGTCTAAGTCAACATGAAAGTGTGCTCTATTTTTTTTTTTGACCAGTCCTGGGGCTTAACTCAGGGTGTGGGCACTGTCCCTGTGCTTGTTTTACTCAAAGCTAGAGTTCTACCACTTGAGGTACAGTGCCACTTCTGGCTTTTTCTGTGTATGTGGTACTGAGGAATCAAACCCAGGGCTTTATGCATGCTAGACAAGAACCCAATCACTTTAGAATCTCTCCTACCCTCAATACTTAAATCCCAGTTGGCAAGGGGAAAAACAAGTGCATTTGTGGTTAACTGTGGAAAAGGCACTCTGCCTCTCCTGTCTACAAGGTGGAAACAGAGAGCTAATTTACCAGAGAGCAGAACTCATACTTTGGGCCTATGTTACAGGGAAACTCTACTTTAAGGTGCCACAGATGGACTGCAACACATAATGGTTTTGGGGGTTTTGCTTCTGTTTCTTTTTGTTTTTTGCCGCCTATGTTTTTATAGCATTGATTTTTATTGTTTTCTTTTGAGATTATCTTGAATTGGATTTCCCCAACCTAACACAGGTGATGCCTTATTCTACATGCTAAATTTCCTCCTTGGGTACATGCAATCCTGTTGTCCATGTACCTGCTGGTGGGGATTGGCCTCCTCATGAAACAGCTGGTAATACTGCTCATGCACCTAGCTGTGCTAGAATATCCTCTTAGCCACATAGTGCATGTGGGCTTTCTGCTATGTGAGTGAGAGGACTGCTGGTGAGAGCAGGTATACTATTGAGCGTCGATGTCTTGGTGCACATATCAGTGTGTTGTTGTGTATGGGTATGGTGGTGGGTTGTGCTTCCCTGGGACCAGTACATTTGAATCTGAGTTTTTAAAATTTCTCTGTGTGTGTGTGTGTGTGTGTGTGTGTTGGTATTGGGGGCAGTCCAGTTTAATTTTTCTGCTGCAGTTTGAAGAACTTGTATGTGTACTCACCTATGCTGTTCCACATGTATCAGTAGGGTGATTCTGTCTGCAGCACTGGCCAGAGGTTCCTGCCCATTCCATAACCCAAGATGTGCTTTGCGTACAGTATGTTAAACTCACAACTTGTGCTTTGAACTCAGGCCGGGACTTTGAACTCAGGGCTTGGAATTTGAATTCCACCCTGAGCCTTGAACTCAGGACCTGGCCCTTGACCTTTGGGCCTGAGATTTGATCTGAGGACCTGTACCTGGAACTCAGAGTCTGGGATTTGAAGTCTCAGACTGAGCTTTGAACTCGGGGTCTAGGCTTTGAATTATTGGCCTGAGATTTGAATTTATAGCCTGGGATTTGAACTTTTAATGTGGGACTTGAATTCAAGGCCTGGGACTTTAACTCAGGGAATAGGACTTAAAGTTCCAGCCTAAGCCTTGAACTCAGGGTGTGGGACTTGAACTCAGGGCCTCAGTCTTGAACTCACAACCAGGGCACTGAATTGATTGCCTGGGGCCTTTAACTGGGGGTCTTGGGACTTGAATTCAGGATCTTGGACTTCAACTCTGCCTTGAACTCTTGGCCTGCGACTTGAAACATAGACTAGACCTTGATCTCAAGGCCTGGGGCTTGAACTGGGGCCCTGGATGTTTATCTTGGTTCCTGGGACTTGAACTCATGCCCTGGGACTTGAACTCACAACATGGGCATTGAACTGGGGACATGGATCTTGAACTGGGACCTGGGATTTGAACTTATAGCCTGACCCTGAAATTCTGGGTATGGGCATTAAAGTCACAGCGTGAGCCTTGAACTCACAGCTGGGCCTTGAACTCTCAGCCTGGTACTTGAACTAGGGCCTTGGAACTTGAACTCAGTAGGGAAGGGGGTCTGGGACTTCAATATAAAGCCTGGGCCTCGAATTCATACCTTGGGCCTTAAATCTAAGGCCTTTCTTTGGTTTTGTTGTTTGGGCCTTGAACTCTAAGCCTGGGATTTGAACTCTTGGCCTGGACCTTGATCTCATTGAACTCAAGATCTTGGACTTGAGCACATTGTCTGCACCTAAACCTTGGAGGCTAGGCCTCCCTCCTCAGCCAAGGTCATGAACTCATGGCATGGTACTTGAACTGAGGCCCTGGACATTGATCTCAGAGAGTGGGACTTGAGCTCATGGTCTGGGCTTTGAACTCTCAACCTGGGCCTTGAACTGGGGGCCTGGGACTTAAAATCAAAGCTGGGCTGAAACTCTGAGCCTGGGCCTTGAACTCACAGCCTGGGCCTTAACTCACAGTATTGGCTTTGAACTCATGGACTGTTATTTAAATTGGGACCCTGGACCTTGAATTAAGGGACCTGGAACTTGAATTTCAGCCCCAATATTGAACTCAGGGCCTGGGCTTTAAATTTACACCTGGAACTTGAACTCACTACCAGCAAGGTGCATTGGGTCTTAACCTTTAAACTCAGGTACTGGGCCTTGAATTCATAGTCAGGGTCTTAAAATCATGTCCTGGGATTAAACTGGGACTCTGGAATTTGAACAAGGGACATGGGATTTGAACAAGGAGCTGGGGCCTTGAATTCACAG